GTAAGTTTAAAATTATAGTTATAAGTGATAACAATATTATTACATTCGGCTTCATGTTTGTTTCTACTCCTCATAAATATGCTTTTTACAGGATAATTTATAGAAGAAAACACCTTCCAACTCCTAATGCATTCACTTTACAGAGAGCTACCTGGCCAACAATGTGAAATGGAGAGCAAATGCCAGCCAATTTAAAGTAGGCTTGTTGCCACATAAAATTATGGACTGGCTGCTACGAATAGATATTTAAATTATTGGCTTGCTCCTATTCAAGAAATGCAATGGAACTGATAATTCATAGAAGAAAACACCTTCCAACTCTATAAGAACTTTATAAGATTACTCTTGAGGAAGACCTTTGAAATGAGCGTAAAAACCAGTGTACTCATCGAGTAATGAGAGGAAAATGCTGGACTCTGTTGAGAAAATGAATAAGTTGGACTCTGTTTTAATGTAAAATTGAGATAATGAATAAGTTGGACAATGTTTCAATGCAAAATTTATCAAATGTGTCATTGTCATTGATCACAGTGGTTTCTTGTTTGTTGACATGGTGGCCAACCAGTTCCTCTGGAGTTCCAGCAACAGGGCATAGAGGCCAAGGCCTTCCCCTGATGTTGCCTTCTGGCATGGATATTCAGAGGTTTACTGTCTCTGAACATGGAGGGTCCTACTTTGTAGCGAATGTATGGCACCTTAAAATGGTTTTGAGTTCTTGGCTGTCTTAAAATGAGTATGTCTAAAGAGAGTATTGTAACACAATGTGTGGGGCTGGCCTTGAAGATGGCTCAGAAATTTCAATTGGTCCAAATGTCTCAGCAAGGCTCAGGCCTAGAGTACCTGAAGGATGACTTTTACCCTGTATCAACCAGACTACAAACTGTGATCAGTCTTCTCCAGGAACCATCTTCAGCAGATGTTCAGCTGGTGGGAACTTGGAAGAGGATTTATTCGGCTACTGTACCCTGGCCCTGGCACTCCCTCAGGAGCTGAGAACTCAGGAGTTTCCGTTAAGGGCCTTGTGGATAGATCTCAACAATTCCCTTTTCTGGAGGGCCTTTAAGTTGGCCTATTGGATTAAGTTGTGCTCATGGGGGAATTTGTAGATTGAGTTTGGATGCTACTGATATTTTGAAGTGATTTTATTGGGGTTTATTAGTTTTATTCTGTGTTGATGGTGGCAAACTCACACTGCAAAATGTTTAAATTGGAAGGTGGTTTATAAGGAAATTAGATAACTACGTATTTTGAGTGTATTTCCCAATTCTATGTGGTGCATGGGGAAGAATGGAAAACAGTATTGATTGTGAGAGGTAAAATTCCTTCCGGTCAAATAACAGGAATACCCACTTTGTTTTTATATTATACTAACATTGCATTAAACATATTAATATACAAAAAACACTACTATTAAAAAATCTGTCTTTTCCCATGTCCTGACTATAGCGGAGCCATGCGAATAGGAAAAGACTTCATATTATTCACAAAGAAAGAGAGTACCATGACATGCCTTCTTTTCTCTCAGACGTTTTGTGAGACAGAAGGTCTCACTGAGGTGATTATATATATATATATATATATTTAGTTTAGTTTAATTGATTATAATACATCCAAAAGTAATTGATGTACCATTTTTCCTCTACAGAGTCATATACTGATCTCACCCGATCATGGAAACATACAAAATCCGGTTACCAAGTGTCTGAATGTCACTGAATACAAAATATGTGTTTTGAATCCCTTGCTCTCCTATTACTATGTGGCAATGGCTAGTTTAAAAGAAAATGGATTAAGGTCTGTTTAGGTCATATGAAATCAGCCATTCATCAGAGACAGCAGGCTGGCTGGTTTCAAAAACCTTTTCGTCTTAGATAAAATGATAATTTATGATGGCAACATTTTATGTCACAAACTCCACAAAATCTACTGTGAGCAGACTAGTTCTACAACTGATTTGGAGTGAGTCTACATTTAAAGAAGACTTTGAAAAAGGCAGTTTCTATGCTTTCTATTATTACTTTTCCCCTTATGCCACACATTTTGTTGGGGTTTTTTCATGTTCAGGCCCGTATGGATTTTCTGCATAAAAATCCAGATCATTATTTCAGTGGATGCCAGAAAGCAAAGTACATGTGGACTCTTTGGCTGTGATCAGACATTCGGTTTGATCCATTGCCATTGCTGTTCCCTTACAGATTTAAAATGCACAGTCAGACAGCAACATCTGTCTGTCGTGCCCCAGTCATCTGTGTCCTGTTCCCCCCGCCCCTTACTGTGTGTTTATTTGATGCCTGTGAAAGTCCGGTCCTTTTGGGCTGAGCTGGTTTCAAACTGGATTTCCTGTTGTCTGATCACTCTGTTGCACACCCAAGCCATCAGGCAGGTCTGACTGGTCTCTTGTTTTTCAGCTGCCATTTTTTTACTGTTAGTGAAGTGCGCATGACTGCATATTCGCACCCCTCTCTCTCCCCCTGTCCTACAGGGGCTGCTCTAAACTTTGTTTTCTTCATAAAAACTTTAAAAGAAAGATGCCCCTGTGCTTTGGGGAAGGGGTAAATTTAAAAGTTTAGAGAGGGAGACTACATGAACCAGCAGGCTGATCAGCGCTTGTGCACATGTCCAGAGGACAAACTTTTTTAGAAATGGCCAACAGCCCCATGAACTACATATGCCAGGAGGCATATCAGTGCTTGTGGGCATGTGGGAGAAACTATTTTTAAAAATGGCCAACAGCAACACTTCTTGGCTGCTGGGTCTGAAAGGCATCTGATTGATCAAGAATGGGGTAAAAGCACTTTGAAGAGTGCTAAAAGGGGTGAGTCTGATCAGTATTCTTGGTTACAAAATACCCTGTATCAATTAGAGGCAGGGCAACAGCGGATTAAAATGCACGTCTGAATGCAGCCCTTAATTCCTTTTTCAGAAACTACTGGGAGAAAAAGGTCATGTGGGTCAGCTTATCGTTACCAATTCTGACATCATTTATTTGCGATAGCTGCATTGAAGTCTAGGCTGTACCTGAAGGAGACTTTTCAAAATAAGTTTCTCTCTGGAGTCTTCCTTTGAAGTTATTTTGTTGAAGAATCTCTCAGGTCAGAAACAGAATGTTCAAGTCTGCAAGCAGAAATGGCTTCCCACCCATGGCCTGTGAGAGAGAAGCATTTATCTGGGATGGGCTTCACTGATAATACAATGGATTGGTTCTCAAAAAAAAATTTTTAATTAAAAATTGCCACTGGGCCAAAAGTGTGACATCACTCCCACAGAGAAACCCAGAAGTGCATTGTAACCCTAGGGAGCTGTAAGTAACAACTCCAGCATGAATTGGGATACATTTCAAGGTTTAACAATACCTCCCTTGGATAGAAAACCACCAAGGAAGGCTCTGCAGAGGAAGGCAATGGCAAACCTGAGGGTAGCATGTCAGCTGTGACTTGACAGCATATACATAGATAGAAATGAATATCTTAATAAAACTTGTGATTCCCCTGCCCATTACAGTTGTTAACTAGTGTACCCTAACAAGTGTGTGATCTCTGTATTTCTTCCTGGTTAAATCTGCATGTACATCATTACATTTCGCAAAATGCAAAGTGGACCAGCTCATAGAGTCCGAAGAAGTGGGTTCTAGTGCATGAAGCTTATGCTGGCAATTTTTTGTTATTCTTTGAGGTACTACAAGGACCATCTTCTCTCATATGTCCTTGTGCTGCAATTGCCGCCTGCTGGTTGTTCCCCCATTTAGATAGTCAAAGAGAGCTTGTACTTTTTTCTGTCATATCCTTTGAAGTATTTTGCAGGCTAATCTTTTTGATAAAGCTTTCAATGGGTTGTAGGCATTGTTTTAGGGAGGGAGGTTAGATGAGGTTTCGTTGTAGTCTTTGTGATTTGAATTTGTAAGCCATCTAGAGCTATAGGAAAATTGAGGTGTAAATATTTTCATAAACAGACAAGACTTCTTTTGCTTCTGAAATTATCACTTACATAGTTCAGCTAATTAAATCTGGGGTGTAGCAAAATTGGCCAAGAAGCAGAAATAGATTTCTGTTCATAGACTTGCCCTTCTACCCATGTTAAAGGCTGTAAAGGGAAATAACCCCAGAGGGCATATACATAACACATGCACTACAGAACAGATGATCATCACTGCCACTTTTGACAGTACTTCTCATCTCTTAGATGTAAAGGAAAAAGCAAACTGCGTCACTCAAGAGAGGATGGGAGAATAAAGCAATAGGCCCCCAGCTTTCTGCTGACCTTGAATATCCCTAAATTGAGCCATTTTCCTTCATTTTGTTTTTCTTTATAGGTCATCATTCCAATACCTTCATGGTCAAGTAGTATAAGAAAGCCAGTAATGGATGGTCCTGAGTTGTCTATCATTTGTAAATATTCTCCTTTTAAGAGTGAAGCTGAACTGATGAAGCAGTTTGATGCTATCTATGGAGAAAGGGGTGAGTTATCCCTCCAAAGTCTTATCACTCAAGATCAAACTAGGGCTGCGGTCACACACTAAATAATCCACTTTCAGTGCACTTTCCAACTGGATTTTTACTGTGTGAACTGGCAAAATCCAGTTGGAGAGTGCATTGAAAGTGGATTATTTAGTGTGTGCGACTGCAGCCTAGGTGTGATGTTTTCCCTTGGTAGTCAAAAAAGGAGGGGGGGTTAACCCAAACTAAAATGAATTAGGTACCTAAAGGTTAAGAAGATATGAATATATGGGCCCAATGATTCTGTTACTCAAATTTAAAATTAAAAAATATAAACAGATACATAAAAATACACATGTATTCAAAGTAAATTAATACACGTGTATTCATAGTAAATTAAAAACAGATAATTGGCCCTTGTGGTAGCCTCAGTTAAGATTGATAATGTTCAGTGACAACCAGAAATTACCATTATTGACCTTGACTAGACACTCTTCAGCCCATTGGCCTTCCTCAGTGGTCAAACAAATGATATTACAGGAATGGCTCCTGACATTACAATACAACAAGCATTTCTTATAAGTTGACCAGGATAAAGGTTTTTATATATGATAATTCTCTGTGACCAAAGGCAAAGATATTAATCAGAGGCCTCATTCTTGAAAGTTTACTGCCATGGTCAGGTACACTTTCCAGTAGAAATGATTCAATTGTGTACCTTTCTTGCTTGGTCAGAAAAGTTCAATGAAGCCAGGAGTCAATAGTAATGTAATGTTATGTAAGCCGTTGGTTCAGTTTTGTGTTCTCTGGCTTGTCCTTCAGTATTTTATATTTTGTGTGTTGCCTGTCCACAGGGTTGCCCAGGCATTTGATTGTGATTCATAAGCTCTGCCCCAGACAAGAGGAACTGAATTCTAGAGCATGTCATGTAAATTCTGTGTTTTGTTTTTTTGTAATCTCCTTAGAGTTCATGTAAACTGCTAGATGGCACAGTTTTCCCCAAACATTTTATTGAATGTCCATGATATACCACATTCTGTTCTTTTGAACATGATACTGAACGAGAGAGAGATTGGAAAAAAATATTTACATGCCCCAGAAATACATAGAGGTGTGTGTGTGTGTGTGTGTATAATCTTTACCCCAAAGTTGGCAAGCACAGCACTAAACTGTGACTTCTTTCCTAGTTAGTTTAATGTCCCTACAGAGCATTCTGAAAGATGCTATGACTCCTGGAATTACATGATAAGAGGAAAAAAGTTGGAGCTAAGGCAGAGCTGTGGTTGTTTGAGAATGGGAGCAATAGCTGTGTGTGTATCTGGCTGTCCCAGATGTATGTGAAAGCAGATACACTTGAATGAACCTAGGAAAAAATTCATGTCTTTCATGGCCTTCAGTTTGCAGCAGTGATACTAGAGAAGGAATACGCAGTTGGCTGCCCAAGAGCTGTCAAGCTCAGGCTAACTTTAAATTTCTTTAAGTTCTATTTCTTGTTACCTATGCTTGTCATTTTGAATTCCTGAGGGGGGGTGTATGTTGTTGGAGTGCATGGGAGTAGATACTGTAATTTTCCTGAAGAAGAACCCCAAGTAGGTTTCCTGTGAGACTGGCCTTGGAGTACCTTTCTCTGCCAGCCTAGTTAGATGGGGCACCATATATCTGTCTGTGTTGCCATAGTAACGCGAGGGGTAGACATGACGTGTATGAATGTGGAATTTTATGCTTTTACCTGTATCTTGTATTTTCCCATGAATTTCCTCAGTCTTAACAAGAGCTCTTGAACCCACAGCATCATATCTCTAATAAAGCATTATGTTGCTAATAGTGTGTGTGGAGAGTGAATTAGCTGGGGACCTGACAAGAGCTCAGTCTAGGCCCCAGGAATTTCCCAGTGGTCCCAGTGTGACCCTAAATCCCAAGGAACTCCCACCCCAACTATGCCTGTTCATCCCACATGAAATGAGGCAAATGACTCCTTACCATGTGAATAGTGAAAAAGGCTACAGGGGGTGCTTTTCCTTTCATTCCTATGTATAAGTCCAGAGATAAATAGGAGTGGTATTGCAAAATAAGTGGTAAGTGGAGTGCTCTGTTGCACTCAACAGAGGGAGTAGGTCATTAGAGTTCTTCTCATGTCTTAGCTCTTCTACAAGACATCAGTAGGTGGCACCAGTGCTACTAGACCCTCACCACCAATGTTCAATTAAATACCCTGATCCTCTTGGAAATTAGCTGCTTATGGAAATATTAGCATGTTTAAGAACCAGGAAAGGTCTTAAATTCTGAGAAACATGGTTTGCTGTGCTTTCCTAATAAAATCACATACTACTCTGAAACGTGAAAACTTTCTGTCTCAAATGGCCAGTGTGGGACTAGGATCTGGGCTCAAATCCATATTCATCCACGAAACCTAGTGGGTGAGTTTAAGCCAGTCACACCCTTGTAGACTAACCTCAAAGGGTTCTTGTGAAGATAGCATGGGGAGGATACTAACCATGTATGCCACCCTGAGCTTCTTGGAGAAAGGGCAGGGTAAAAATGAACTAGAGAGAAAGCAAGATGTTCAAAGAAACACTGACAGAGGACTCTGTGCCTTCTTTGATACACAAAGCAATACCTCCTACATCGTGTCCCTCCCTTCCCTCTTTGTAGTGCTTATACAGTACCCCATTGATACGACAGGATCCCATTGGCATTGACCGAGACATCCATAACATGTTCCCTGCTCCATCTGTTCTCATCTCACTTGACCCTTTTGTCTCTACACATGGCAGGTCCTGCACTCTGCAGCCAGGCCCAGTCAGGTCTCCCCTGGAGCAGTGCCCTTGGGTCTAGATAGCAGGCCTTGGGAGCACTGACAGGTGCTGGCAGCCAGGAGCAGGGGCTGAAGACAGGGAGCTGGTGCACAGGCTTGCACCTAGTGGACCAGTTTTATCCAGCAAGGCAGTCTTCCCAAGCCTGAGCCTAAATAGTCTGGGAAGTAATCAAGCTGAGCTGCACTGCTGGCAGGTGGTGAGAGCCTGGCTGTGCTGTGGCCAGAATCTTGCAAATGAGTATGAACCTTACTGCTTGGCTCCAAGAACATGTTGTATGCTGTCAGTCTGGCACTGTACTTCTTAGGGCCACTTTGGCCCAGGCCTTCTGTCAGTGCTGTTCTTGCAGAGAGGGAATTCCTGTGGGCTGTGGGCCCAGGCTCAAGACCTGCACAGTGGATGCATAGTGGGTACCTCAAGTGCCGGTGGCAAGGTTTCACTTGCAGGTTCTGACAGGGTGGCCACTGGCCCCTCTGCCATGTCAGGCCTGGTCCCATTGGTCTTCCTCAGCCAGTGACCTTAGTTTCTCAGGTACTTCTCTGAGGGTGAGAGTGTAGTAGTGCCACCCCCTGATGTCTTGTGGAAAAGCAAAGACATGAGAAGAACTCTAATGAGTAGACCTGCTTAGGAGTGCCACACAATCTTCCTCTGCTTCAGTTCTATAGCAGTACCATTGAGATGCCTAGAGCTCCATGCATCAAGAACATACCCATGATTTCTGACCAGTGAACAGGTTATATGTGGCAGTCCCTGCAAAACACTGGCGAGTCCTGACTCCCCTTCTGGCTTTCTGCCTCCATAACCAGATTGGTTGTCTAAAAGTGTTTTAGGTTGAAGTAGGGTACTCAGCTGAATCTGTGTATATTATCCATTGCAAGAAGGATAATATGCTACAGTGGCCTTCTTGCTGATGCAGAACCTGTATGTCCTCTTTTTTGAGAAACTGACTTCAGGGGTTTTCTTCTCCCTTGCTGAACTCCTCTGTTAGAAACCCCTGTTGGAAACTGCTGGTTGCAAACTCCATGGAAACTTGTGTGCCTTCTTACAGAGTCTGACCTCTAATGGACTCAGTTCAGAAACATCTGGTGGCTGTATAGATTAATTTTTTAAAAAGAGTGTTATCCTGTGAATAGACCCTGACGGTGGTAACTATTTACTACATTGTCTCTTACTACCCATTTTAATTGACACCTTTAATAATGGGTAGATGGTTATCAATATTAACATTCACATCTAGGAACTCTGGTGGTGATATACAATTTGAAACTCATGCTCAGTGGTGAGCCAGAACTTGACATTCAGACAGATGAAGCGGATATTTTGATTGCCGGAGAACATGAAAAGTAAGTTTGATTATTATCATAATATAAAAAAGAGCATAAATAAAAATATTCCTTAAAATCAATTTGATTGGGGCATTTGGGGGCCCCCATGTTGTGGTCCCAAATAAGAATGCCCCCCCATGGCGTTTTTTAAGCAGGAGAACTAATGGTTTGGAAAATGCCAAAAAAAGTAAGCTCTGATAGTACGATTCAGAGAACACTTTTCATAGAGTAAGCTCCATTGAATAAAATGGGACTTGCTTCTGAGTAGACCTACTTAAGGTTGCACTCTGAATATGCAGAGGCCCCCAAACTTTGTACTGTGCACAACACAAACAAGCATGCTCCAGTATACTCCTGCCCACTATGTCTCACAGTGGCTAGACCTGTGGTAACCAGCCCATCCTCATTCTTCCCAGTGCCCCATAAATACAGAAGATGCCTTTCTTTTTGGCTTTCCTGTTACCAACCTAGATGGGGTAGGGTGCCAGCAGTGCAAAGGTGATGAGGTCCTTGCTTATGAAATCCATACCCATTTAGCTTCAACAGTGTTGCTATATTAGGTACTCCTTGTTACCTCCCCAACACAACCCCTCTGGTGTCCTAAGATGCATGGGTCATGCATCTTAGGTGGCGCAGGCAGTTAAATGCCTGCTTCAGTAACATCATACGAGCAGCCCTATGGCGGTTCGAGTACCACCGCGGTCGAGGTGAGCTCTCGACCCTTGTCCCAGCTCCCGCCCACCCAGCGGTTCGAAAGCAACTTAATTGCAAGTAGATAAATGGGTACCCACTCTTAGTAGGGTGGGGGGCACCCTGCCTGTGTGGTGGTTGAAGACAGATGGCGGCGGCAAGACATCAGCTCCGGCTTGGATGGCGTGAAGGTGGCGGCGGCGGCGAGCGGGCGCAACCGAAGGAGCGATCCCTGGTGGCTAGAGGACGGAACATCGAGTGACCGCCGTCGGGAGAGGGCCGCGATGACGCCAAGCGCCGGCACAGTGGAGCCGGAAAAGGACGCAGCTGAAACCGGAAGGAGGTGGGAAGTTGCGTGCCTCGAGAGAGGGAGGTTGCCGCCAGGGGCCGAGGAGAGCGTCCCGCCTGAGAAACCGCCTGAGCCAACAGGAAGAAGAGGAGAACACCACTAACTACCAACCACCACCATAGGGGTGCCGGTAGGTCTCCCCATCCCATACAAATATGTGGCCTTAGTCAGGGAAGTAAAATGGTGACTAGCACCGAATTGTAAGCCTCTCAGAGACCCCCCTGACAAGGGGGTTCGAGCGGGATATAAAGTTGAATGTTAAATAAATAAAAAATAAATGCTTAAGCATTTAAATACATGGACACAAACACTGCCACAAACTGGGAGGCTTAACTCTTTGTAACCCAGATGAACTGCCCCAGAACAGCCTATCAATCTCAGTGGCTGAAGTGGGTGAGAGAAAGGCAGGAGGGAGAACCAGGCAACCTTCTTGTCTGCAGCAAGACAACTGCCTTCTTTTCTCAGCCTTTCCAGTAGTGCGACCTGAGCAGCTAGCAAGAAGCCTAAAAAAAACCCTGAAGGCTAGGTTCCAGTTCTTTAAAGTGTATTCTTAGCATACACAGAATTAGATGAGGGGGGGTTGACAATGGAAATATAGCATTTAGTAAACAAAATAAAAGTACAGTTGCTGGCTGATTCTGACAGTTCAATGATTTGGTGATGTTTACACTTGCCTTACTAGGTGGGCCAAGCATATCAGGGTTCATAGATGACAAAAGCCCTTATTTCCAAGGTTGCCTAGAGCCTGCTTGTTCCTGGGATTCTTTCAATGATTGCTTGATCTGAAGTAGTAAGATATATCTCGTGTTCTGATAAAATTAAGCAAGGATGCATATTCAGAAACGTTTAAATTACATTGGTTATGCCTTAACCATCAAGAAATCCTGAGTGCACTTTCTGGCTTTGTATATTTAAGAGATCAGCAGACCATGGGGATTCTAGTAAACAAGAAGAAGAAAGTCCAGCCCACCTGCTTTTAAATCACCAGAGCGACCAACAGTGCAATCCTGCTCAGAATTACACTTTCTTAAACCCACTGAAGCCAGTGGGTTTAGAGGGATGTAAGACTGCTTAACATTTCATTGTATGGCCTCTATCATATGTAACATATTCAGTCCACCATTCGCAGGTATTGTTCTTAAAAACCAATTAGGTGTTTTTCCCTGGGGCAAAGTTTGAGTCCAGTGGCACTTTTAAGACCAACAAAGTTTAATTCTGGGTATAAGCTACTGGACTCAAATTTTGTTTTGTTGCTTCAGACCAACATGGCTACCCACCTGAAACATTTTTTCCATGGACATCCTTGCAACAAATCTCCAGTAGCTGGGTAGAATTGCCACTTCTCTAGAATTTGAACTAGTTGCAGGTTACTTTTAAAGGGGTTTCAGGAGCATTTATTTCGGGCTCTGTGGGGCTTCAGAGCTTGTTTGGGCATGGCTGATTATGCCCCTAATTTCTTATATGTAGTCAGGGCTTTTTTTGTGTGTTGTGACTCACCAGTTCTGAGTACTGGCAACTTTTTGCAGGGTTCTCCCAAGTCCTGAGGAGAGAATGGGTGGAAATGGGCACAACTTTATATATATGTACTGGCACCTTTTTGTTTACAAAAAAAAGCACTACATGTAGTAGATTTTCTCCCTTTGGGCCTTAAGTTATTCTTCCTTAAACACTTTTCTGTGCCAGCATTCCAGAGCAATGGTCTCTGAGGGCTTACACGGCTCTGCTGTACTTCGAACCACGAATGCGGATATTCATTCAAGCCAAGAAAGTAGAAACCAAACGCTTGTCATACTGCTTTTATAGGCCCAGGTGAGTCGGCCCCTCTTACTATTACACAGCTAGATGTTTAAATTTTCAAAGCAATGTGTTTGGAAGCATTTAACTACTCTTTTTGGCGATGACAAGAAATTGACTTGAATGGCAGAGCAATTAATAATCTCAGCCAAGTTCCAATCACCCTGGCAGGCTGGACTGTTAAAAGGTAATCAGCTGTGACCAAACACTTCTGACCTCTGAGCAAGAAACACTCTGCATAAGATAATCACCTCACAGCAGATTTTTTTTTCTATGTGGTTTATTTTTCTGCTGAGTGAAAGTTTCTCAGGCTGTTCTGTAAGGGTGCTACAAAATAATTTTAGGCCATTTAAGAGTTCATTTCCTTAATGGAGTCCAAATCTTGGAACCTGAAGTACATACAAAGCAAGGCTAAGCAAGGTAAATCAGTGCTCTCTCATCTATTACAAGAAAGCTGTGGCCTGATCAATGGCGGGGTGCCCATAACAGGCAGGAGGCTGCTTAACTCTTGTTGGCTTTGCTGTACTGAATGTGCAGGTGAATGTAGAGATTCCACTCTGTCATGTGACTGCAGCTTTTGTTGTTTCAAGAAACATTTGAATAATTTATACAATACTAAGACTTACAAACCTTTGAATCTTTCTGCATGGGGCAAGGATCATGCATGCCCTGCTTCACCTTGCCATTATGCATTTGGAACATTGTCTAAATGGCACAATCACAGAAAGTTGTGCATAAATCCACATATCCCCCCCCCCCCCTTTTTAGGGATAAGGATAATGCATGATCAGCCCTTTGGTTTGTATTTGAAGAATGCACTACATGTGATCGTCCCAACATGATGATTGTCATTTTGTCTGAAAGGGGCAACAGGACATATTCAGCTTCAGACATATGTGTTGCCCCTTTCAGACAAAATGGTGGTGGCATGCACTGAGAGGATTGCATGTAGTGCATTATTTGCATATGTGTGGTAAACTGCAACTTCCGAAATAGGCTGTTGTTGGACATATGTGTATAGCTGCCATTCAGAAGTTACATCAAATGCATAGGGTAGGCAGGGAATGATTTACCCAATATTCTGAATGGGTTGTTATGAATAACACTTAAGACTAGCCCTATTCAGTTTTATATTTTGTATCTTAATAGGAGATATCCATATATTGTACCATTGAGACAAGTTGCTACAAATGAGGCAAAAGCAGCAGAAATGGAACTGAATTCTGGTAGGCAGTCTCCTGTAATCTTAATAACAACCAAGTATTTTCCTTTTCATGTTCCCAAAGGTTCTATGAGTGGCTGCTAACTTTACTTGTAAACAGAAATAGGTAGTACCTACATCGTTGGTTTTACTTCTCAACTGTTCCTTCTCTGCACCTATAGACAGAAATGACCTGGTTTAATTCCTTTATATGAGGTATTTTGCAGTACTGCTTAGGAGTAAGGATGCTCAAACATCGGCTCACTTGTTGTTTGCCCGTGGTTTCAGGCAGCCAATTAATTAGTGTACTGTTCGCAACCTGTTTGTGTCTGTTTGCAGAAACAGGCTACTTGAAGCCATCAAAAGCTGACTCCCAACTAATGAAGCTACACCCAGCATAATTTTTTTAAGGGGAGGGGACAGAAAACTCCCAGCCAATCAGTTAGCAGTCAGGTTCCTCTAATCCCTCATCCTGATATACCCCAGCCTTGCTGAGATACAGCCAGTTGGGGTGAGGGGAGTGATCAAAAGCTTGGCTAATTTATCTTTTCTTCTTCCTACCCTAAGCTGTCAGCTTGAACTATAGAGACAAGAATGAGAACACCCTTGTTTGAGGAAGCCTATTGCTTCTGATCCTGGAATTTACTTTGCTGATGTTTTTCTGGGGAGGGGGTGTGTTGGATCAGAACACAGCTCCCAGCTGAGCTCCCATACGTCTGTGATTTGGCTTCTGACTTGTTTTATGCAACACGGACACATCCTGGATTGGCACTAATGTTAATGGTATCCAGCACCACAAATGGGTGTTGCTGGAACAATATTGTTGCTTAATGGCATTGTGGGTTGGGTAGTAAATCTCCAAAATAGTTTGACAAATGCTTTTGCTTATGCTTGTAGCCAGACATGTTGAGAAGGAAGCAAAGGACAGACAAAAACATTTGCAAGGATCTCTTTTGCATGAAGACAGTGAGGTATGATATAAAAATAGAACTTTGCAAAGTTCTGTAGACATTTCCTACTGTGCAAGGGCCATTGAAATGAGCATGGGACCCTCTGTTAGGCTTGAACTGAGGCTGTAGATGGGCTTGCTGTCCACATTTGGATTTGGGTATGTTTTCTATTTCAGGGTTGATCCCTGAGTTCAGTGGCTTGATCTGATAGAATAAAGCCAGGTCTGACTCCCTAGTATTTATGCCAGGCCAAACCAATCCAGAGATTTCATATTACTGCCAAGGTGAATCTTGCACATACCTGTTCCTTTCTGCATCTGAAAATATGTCTGAGGTAGGGCTGCCAAGTCCCCCCAGGGGGCAGAAATCCCCCCGCCCCAGAGGCCTGTTCCCCGACGCCGGGGAATCGGGCCCCGGGGGGAACCCCGCCCCAGCGTGCACGTCACAGGGAAGTGACGTTATGATGCTGGGCACGCTGGGGGCGGGGCCACGGCCATACAAGGGGAAACACTATGGTTTTCCCTTGTATGGTCGTGGCCCCGCCCCCAGCGTGCCCGGGGTCATGACGTCACTTCCCTGTGACGTGCATGCGGCGTGCACTTTCCGCATGCATGCACACGCCGGGATCCGCACGGGAGTCCCCCGCCGGCAAGGTAAGTGCCACTTGGCAACCCTAGTCTGAGGGCCAAACCACACAATACATTTTTGGACCTAACTTGCTTTCCTTAAATCCACAATACAGATGTGAGAAATGGTGTTTTTGAAGCATGTGGGAGTCTGATTCAGCTCAGGACTGCGGTGGAGTGGAGGGTGGCAGAAGCCTCTCCCCTGCTCATAGTGTTCCCAAACTGAATTGGGCCTCCACAGGCTTTAAAAATTATGTTCCCCACAGCTGCTCTGTAGTTGCATGGAAAGCAATTTGGGATCAGGCAACCTGGCCCTGCCTTGTTAAATAACACATTACGTAGTTTGACCCAGAGGCTTGAAAATGCACAGCCCCAGACACTTGCCACTGGATTATCCTTGGAGTGCCTGGTGCCAATTTTGTACTGTCCTCCATTAATGTCAGTGGCCTTGGGCGAGATAATTTTCTAGTTCTTTATAGTAGCCCTGTGCTTTATAGTAGTCCACCCCTATTGACCCACCACTTCCATTTATAGCATCAATGTTTGTCATATTTAGCCTTGCTACTGCATTAGCCTTATAAGTTAATTGCTTGAAAATATAGGCTTTAGAGTTTTTGCCTAGCATGACCTTTAAACAGTAGGAAAGACTTTCAAACAATGTTAATTGCATATTTACCATTGTTGAGGCTTTTAAAAGTCATTATTAAACTGCCTTGGCTTCAGCTTTAATTATTTTTGAAGAATGTTTAGGAAGCACTTTCCACTTCAGAAGACTTCCAGGGTGATAATTATAGCCTAATTGTGCCTGCACAAATGATCATTTATATTCAAAGGTATGTTCACTAGTGCTAATTCCCACCATAATCATGGCTAGGCTCCAGACCACAACTACATAGTTATAGAATGCTTACAGTGGGCCATGTGTTGTACATAAATATAAATGTATATACATAAATATGAATGACACAGTTTCAGTCAAGATGATTTATAGAAGTGCTGGGCAGATGGTGAATCAAGAGCAACCAGTTGCTTCGAATTTCTGTACATTTTTCTGATCTATAGCTAAAAAATCAAGTAGACATGATGGTGTGAGGACCCAATCGAGGTCTTCCAATTCCCTGTAAAGTGGCAGTGCAGGATGATTCATATTGCAATCCTAAACAGAGTTGCATCCATCTAAGCCCACTGATTTCAGTGGACTCAAAAGGGTATAACTCTGCTTATATTCACGCTGTAAAAGCACAATATGGACTGTTGAAGGGGGAACTGAAGGTGTTTCCTACTCATTTTTCCCATTCAAACCTACTTTTTTTAAGTAGCCATTTTTTTCAACTAGATGGAGTCTTTTTAAAAAGTGGGTTCACAGAAAACAAGGGAGGGTTCAGCTTCTCACTTTCACCTGCTGATTCTATATTTTACACATTTGTACACTTCTTTATAGGGATTAAGTTCCAGCTGGAATCCATTATGTTTATTGTCATATACGTGCATGTGAATGATCCGAATCTGGAAAGAATGTGATGTGAATACCAGCCCTTAGTGGGATTACTCTGCAGCATTTTAATACTGCAGCTTTCTGAGTTAAGATGTAAACACTATTCAGAAGCTTCTTGAACAAAGAACAAAAATTAAATCCAAACACAAATTAAATCCAATTCTAGATATGAAAATGTGGAAATCATATACATTGGCCATTTAATGAATGGCTCCCTGTGGTATGATATCTCACACTTTCAATCACCAGTTGTGATGAAGTTTATGTCTTCTGAAGCCCAAGGACACCAGCCAGTGTGCACAATAGCAGCTTGTTCTGTTACATTAGCGCCATGCCACTTCCATCCATTGTATTGAAGGTACAAAAGAAGGAAGAAATGACAACAGAACCTTACGTTTGCAGCACATGCTGGAAACTGAACTGTACCATTGCTAAATTCATAGTCTTTTTTATCACAGGCTTGGCCAGGTCTGCTCTGGCCACTGGCAGTACTTGGGGGAGGGGATAGGGTTGCCAGATCCAGGTTGGGAAACTCCTGGAGATTTGGAGATGGAGCCTGCAGATGGCAGGGACCTCAGTGGAGCACAGTTGGAGTTGCCTTCCCCAGGTCCAGGTGGGGAATCCCCCAGTTTTGGGGATTCGGCCTGCTGCCAGCCAGCTGACCGGCGGGGAAACCCCACCCCCAAACAGTGGTGTCCGCAGGCAACATTCTGGTTTTGGGGCAAAACACTATGGTTTGAGGGCAATTTTACCACAGAGCTCTGCCCTCAGACCAGAGCATGATGTCATTGCATCACAGAGCCCCACCCCACTCCCAGAAGGCTCCCTCCCACCCACCCTGCCAGCATGTCACTGAGACCTGGCAACCCTAGGTACAATGCCTTTGAGTCCACCATCCAAATCATCCATTTTCTCCTTGGGAACTGATTTCTGTGGTCTGGAAATGAGCTGTATTTCCAGGGAATCCCCAGTTCCCACCTGGAGGCTGCATCCTGCATGAACATCCACCCCAACTGAACATCAAGAAGACAAAAGTAATGACTACTGAGAAATTACACAGGTTTAAGGTTTATGATGAAGAAATTGAAACTGTTCAAAAAACATTCTTGGCTAAATTATCAACCAAAAGGGAGATTGCAACTAGGAAACCAGAAGGACATTGAGAGTGGGAAGGGCAGCCATGAAGTAACTGGAAAAGATTCAAAGTCCAGTAGCGCCTTAAAGACCTAACAGAATTTGCGGTAGGGTATGAACGTTCATGAGTCACTGTTCAGAAGAAGTGAGCAGTGACTCACAAAAGCTCATACCCTGCCACAAATTATGTTAGTCTTTAAGGTGCTGCTGGACTCTTACTCTTTTCTACTGCTACAGTTGATTCATTTGAAATGTGGTGTTGGAGGAGAGTTTTACGGATATCATGGACCACCAAAAAGAGAAACTAAAGTGACTACACTGAGGCTATTGTACTTTGGTCACATTATGAGAAGACAAGAGTCACTGGGAAAGACAATAATGCTAGAAAAAGTTGAAGGCAGCAGGAAATGAGGAAGACCTAATATGAGATGGATTAGCTAAATCAAGGAAGCCACAGCCCTCGGTTTGCAAGACTGTTAACAATAGGACATTTGGAGGCCATACACATTGAGATATCCCAATCAAATGAAGTCCTGTTACTTTGTAACGTAGCTGGTCCTAATTGGCTGTTCTCAGAGTCTTCCTGTGATAAAGGGGTGAATCATGTGAGTAATAAGCACAGGAGGGCTTGCAGACACAGATCTTTTCTCCCTTTCCCTTCCACCAGCATTTTTCTAAGACTTCCAAAAAGCTGATGCTAAGGTTCATAGGAGCCCCAAAGGGAACTCGGATGACATCACTCCTCCTCGCTTTTCTGCCAGTGGAGTTTCTGCTGGTGCAAGAGGTCAGAACAAGAGGGAAATGAAGGCAATGAGGCACAGTTCCCACCACCCATAGCAGTTTCCTGTGCCCCATGCCATGTAGTCCACAAAGTTCCTGTGGCTCCAAGAACAGCTTTTCTGAAGTCTCATGGGGCTGGTAGGGGAAATGGGAATTAGAAATACGCATAGCCACAATGCACAATGAATGGATCACTGTGCGGATGATTCTCCTGGTTTGCAAGGACTGTTTTGTTGCATTAGGAAGCAACTTGTATTACTTTAGCTTCTTGTAACTTTAGTCTACAATACATTAAAAACACTTGTATACCAGATCACTGGTGGCTCATAGACTTCCTTGGGATTTGCTGGTTACCTAGAAAGGTTATCAAGGAACTGGCAGGTCACAGAATATGACAGGTAGACTAGGCTCGGCTCCAGGGGTCACAAGAAGTTGTGCTGGTTTGCTCTACAGAATCTCTGTGGAGTGATAATCCAGCCTCAGTTGCAGATTTCCAATAGTAGTTCTTTGCACTTTAGAGCAGAACTATTTAAAGTTAATATGTGATAAAATAACTTGTTCTACTGCTTTTTCTTTCCAAAGTTGGAAACAAAGGTTGCTCAGGTTGCAGAATGTGATGCTGTAGGGAATGACAAGAGAATGAGGAGGAAGCTCAAAGACAGACAAAGGCAAGTGAAGACATAGAGTGAATTTGTTTTGTGAAAATTGCTGTTGCAGCAGGAAAAAAATTAGCTGTGTGTGAAAATAGACACTGTCTACCTTTAATGGCCAGGGGTGTCCCGAAACATAAACCAGTTCTGAGACAGATGTACGTGTTAATATTTCTAGCATTATGTTTTCATAGTTCTGCTGTTAGTTTAGTTACTTCTGTGGTTATGAGAGTTTGAAATGGCCAGTGTTTTGTTTATTACTTTGCAACAGGAACAGTGAAATTGTTCAAATGTTAATGAGTGGCTGAATTTCAGGGCTGAAGAGTTTAGGAATATTTTTGTTAAAAGAGCATTCGTAATAAACACAAAAACAAAGTTTTTGCAAATTGGCTTGGAAGAAGCCCAATTGTAGAAAATCACAGAATAATAGTTATCAATCAGAAAATAAACATGAATGTTTTAGTAAAGCATTTTTTTTCTGGAAGGAATGCACCAGAACAGCGTTCCAGAACCTCTTTGACAAAATTCTTTTTAAAATGTTTAAAAGTTCATGAGTTTTCAGTATACAGATTGAAAGCTTCATTTCCCTCTTGAGAGTTCCGGCACCTCTTTTTCAAAAACAGAAATACCCCTGCTTTACAACTAAGTTATATTTTCACAAATCAGTGTTAGAAAAAGAAATTTGGTTTTTCAAACTAAGGTCCCGGTCACATGGGCAGGAAACTGCGGGGGAGAAGCGTGGCTGTTTGCCCTGGGGCAAACTACTGTGCAGTTACGCGATCAGACCTCCTGTGGAGGTCCTGTGGAGGTACCGCGGAGGTTCCATGGCAAGGGAGAGGTGCCGATCACAGGACAAGCCGGCGCGCAACGAAGAAGCGCGCGCCGCGGCAAACTGTTTTTGTTTTGTGTGTACATGACAAATGTGCATGCTCCGTTGGGTGCGCGTGCACATCCACAGAGACTTGGACAAAAAAAACCCCACCTTATTTGCAAGGGGACATGGGTGGGTGCTGGATGCCACCGGAAACGCGATCAGACGCCCGCCCTTACCCCGCAGTTTCCGGAAACTAGTAACTCCGAGGTACTAGTTTTTTGCCACGCAGTTTCGGCTGGAAGCCTCGGTTGAGCCACGGGAGTGCTACGCTTCCCAGATGTGCTGGTGAGATCTCGCCTGGAAAATCCGCCTGTTTTCCGTCTCACTTGTGTGGCTTCTGTTCCGTGTGACCGCAGCCTAAGTTTCTTTTTCTGATACTGATTTGTGAAAATACAACTTGGGTGTAAAACATTCATGTTTATTTTATGATTGATTGCAATTCTTTTTAACATTTGCGGACTTAAATTGGCTTATTCATGTTTATTTTATGATTGATTGCAATTCTTTTTAACATTTGCGGGCTTAAATTGGCTTTAAAATCTGTATTTATATATCTAAATTACTGGTAGCAGTTAGGAACTTTCAAACACAATTGGAAACCTCCTTTGAAAGTGCATGTCTTCTCTTTTCAGAAACCTTAGAAAATCAAAAACGCTCTTCATAATATTTGGAATTAACATTCAAGACAGAAGTCGAGATGGAATGCTTATCTTCAGTAATAATCGTTTGATTCGGATGTTTGAGAAGGTGGGACTGCAGAAGAAACTAGGATCTTAGTAAGTTCTTCTCCCTTTCTGACACTTGAAGGTCGGGTCACCAACTCTGGGTTGGCAAATGTGTGGAGATTTGGGGCGGAGAGCCTCAGGACTCCAGGGTATAATGCCATAGAATCCACCAGGGACTTCAGGGTATAATGCTGTAGAATCCACCCTCCAAAGCAGCCGTTTTCTCCAGGGAACTTCTATCTATAGTCTGGAGATCAGGTGGAATTCCTGTAGATCTCCAGGCCCCACCTTGAAGTTGTTAACTCTGCCTGAAGGCCAGTTTTCAGGCTTGAGAGCCACTTATTTTCATTGCTAGGAGTTTTCAGGTTCTTAATCACATTAGGGCATGTTGTAAATTCAGATTATAAATCTAAATGGTGACTCATTAATAAACTGAGCAGGGAACACATTACAAAGACAGCTTGTCATGAGTCCAGAAATACCTGTTTGTGATGGAAATTCAAATATCTATGACAAAAATGTTTGTCCTTATGCTAACATTTTTTTAAAAAAAATATCTGCAGTTTAGGTGCTGGAGCTGTAGGGATAGTCGACCTACCCTTAGACGTCATGGAGCCAACTCACAACAAGCAGTCCTTTGCCAATGTTAAGCAATACAACCACTTGCTGAAATCAATGGAAAGCTATCTCGTCCAGTACTGGAAAGATGTAGGAATCAGTAAGTAAGAATTTCTGGAAGTTGATTCATACAGTCAAACAGCCCCAAACAGCCCCAAACTCTTCCATATAGATGCAGGTGTATGTGGAGAAGTACTGACACCATGGAATCTCCAATTTTTAATGATGTCACTACAACTCCTTCTTGAAAGGTGTGTGATTAAGTACAAAAAATCAAGGTCTTTACACGGGGGGGAGTCTATAGACAAATTCCAGTCACAGTACCCTGTCTGTTTGCCATTAAAGGCATATGATTGATCATACAGCCTCCAAGCTAGATTGTTTTTAATAATTCTTAATTCACACTGTCTGATTTTGGCTCTTTTAAAGGTCATTATGAAACATGGGTTGATAAGTATCTAAATGTTAATATGTGGATAGCCATTCCAGAAAGCCATAGAATTGCTGGTTATTTATTTATTTAAAACATTTTTATGCCACCTTTCCAGCTGCTCAGGGTCCACAAAGTGACAAACATAAAAAAAATTAAAATATTTGAGTAATGAAAATACCGTTGAAATTACAAAACAATTCAAATAAAAACACAAAAGCACCTCTAATAAGAAGGCCAGTAACCATTATTGGCAGTATGTCAGATGAAGCAAATTTTCACCTGCTGATAAATGACACTGCTAAGAAGGAAACAGATAAACCTCCCTGGGGAGGGAGTTCCAAAGTTTTGGTGTTATGACCAAGAAGGCTGTTTCTCGGGATGCCACCCATCTAGCTTCAGATGGTGGGGGCTACCAAAGCAGGGTAGGTTCATATGGGAGGAGGAAGTCCTTACAGTATGGTGGTCCCAGGCTGTTTAGGGTTTTAAAGGTCAATACTTTGAACTGGGCCCAGAAACAAATGGAAAGCCAGTGTAGATGGAGCCAGACTGGAGTGATACAGTCCCTACACTCCATTCAATACTCAGGCCACAGCATTCTGTATAATCTTCAAGGGCAGCCCCATATAGAGTGCAGTGCAGTCATCTAATCTAGATGTAACCAGGGCATGCACCACAGTGGCCAGATCTTTTCTGCCCAGGAAGCGCCACACCTGGCTCATGAACCAGAGCTCATGAAAGGCATTCCT